CGTAAAACGTACGGCCAGGCAGATGGCCAGGAGTCTGCCCGAGCCCCGGCTCCCTCCTCACCACTGAGTCAGCCTCAGTCAAAATAGGGACCCACCGCCTCCCTCTGCCATCTATCCCAGGTTGTTATTAAAGTACAAAACTGCCGTGAATCACAATTCTCTGGGACACTTAACAAGGTACAAACTGCAATTGTTATTTCAATCAGGAATTGGTCTTTCCCCTTAGCGAATTCCCTCTCAGCGTTTCATTTCTCTGCTGTCTGCAGTGGCCGGTCTTGGGTGAGGCTACGCATCTGTCCATCGTGTTCTCGTCTCTGCGTGTGAATGCTTATGATTTAGCAGAAACCGTTTCTCCTGAAATCTGTTATTATCATTTCATCAAGAGTAATGGAAATATTACCTGTCCTTCTTTATTTGTTGCAAAATTTAGGGACAAGGAGGAAGACCGTATATGTTTTCTTAAAATCAATGGCCGGCACATTACTGTAAAACCTATTGATTAAAAACACAAAGTATAATGTTAGTCATTTAGTCTGTGAAGTGATGCAATAAGGGAAGAAATTTATCCTTTGACTTTTGCATTAACCTTTTATTGACTGCTTGCATACCCATAATTAACACACACTTTAGCTAAAGTGGTTAATTTCAGCATGGCGACCACTGTTCACTAATGTAGCTGCAATCCTGACCATCCGAACGTAAGTGCAGCCCTGGGGGAAATCAGCGGGCAGTGAGGCCCTGTCTGAGTTACACTTTGCAGGTTGGGGACCTCTGCACAGTCTGCTAACTGCCAGCCAGTGTGACACCTGTCAGTTGCTTCCTGTTATGTCACTAGGTCATTCAGGGAGAGCCATTCCCAAGGAGCAGAGAATTTTAGAGTCGTCATAGAGTTCTTTTCAGTCAAAATAATGTGAATTTAGGAGTGTGAGAGAGAAAAAGATCCAAGTTAATTTGCTAACCCATGATGCATTAAAAAGTAGGATTTTTCTTTAGAATAGGATTAGAGAGAACAAGGTTGAAGGGGGAAACTAACTTTCTTACAGTTTAGCTGGGCTCAGGCAGGACTGGGAATGGTGCTGAGTTAAAGAATCTTTTTTAAGCTCTAGTCATAAAAACTGGCTTATTTTTCATGCAAAGGCCAGTATGGATGGCAGTAATATTCTCCTTGTTTTCTGAGAAGTTTGTCCCAAACAGAAATATTATTTGAACCAAAAACCAACACCAGTGTTCTCATGCTCTCATACCCAGATGGACTCTGCACGCACTATGCTGTATCAATCAGCAACAGTCTCAGTTTGGGGACAGGACGCCTGCGTCCACTTGGCTCTGGCAATGGATGTTGTAAAAGGCACTAGTGACCCGGACATAGAAACCTGGCCAGCACATCAGCCAGGATTTTTTGGGTTGCAAACCACAGAAAAACCTAACTCAAACAATAATATGAAGCTGACTAGTCAAGTAGCCAGCTCAGGTGAGCGTTGCTGGCTGCTCAAAGGGCACCATTGGCACTGAGCCCCTTGCTGAATCACATTTGCTGAATGATGATGGCAGCTCCTTGCTGCACATACTACCAGTCCACAGACTAGCAGAGAATCAGTCTGTTCTAGTAGCTTCTGTCATAGTCCTCTGAGTAGCTCTCTTGATTTTATTCCAGACTAGGTTGTGTGGCTCCCCCCTTGGCTTGAAGAGTGCGTGATGCTGACTCGCTGGGGCCAGTCAAGACTCCTGGCTGGAGTAGTAGCACCAGTCCCACCAAACTGAGTCACAGAGCATGGGGAATGGATGGCGTCCCCACAGGAAAATCAGAATGCAGCTTATGGGAGTTGTGGGAATAGATATAAGACAACAACTGTCCGCCACACTCAGTATTCCTTAAACATTCCAGAAGACAGCTTGGGGCCTGTTTATTTTACAAGGGACTATAGAGTACGTGGTGCAAATGTCAAGTCATCTCAAACCGCCGCCATTTAGAAGGTCCGACAGCAGCGCCTTTTATTAATCCCAGGGCTTCAGGAACAACTGCTGATCCCTTCTGAATCTCAGCATTTTAGCCTGTCCCTGGAACGTTGTAGCAATGGAATACATAAGCCTCCAGGTCCTGGCATGTCACCATGTGACAGGATTCAGCTGTAGGCTCAGTTTGAGGCAGGCCAGAAACCGCTGCTCCTGTATCTCTGGTGCTTTCTCAGGAAGGATCCGTCTAGGCCTTACCCCCACCCTGGCTGGTGTGCAGGAAGGAGACGCCCAGGTGTAATCACAGCTCTCTTGGTGGCATCTCTTACCTGTCACAGGTACTCACTGTAGAAGAACAATAGAGATGATGTTGAGTATTTATTAAGCATTTGCTGTGTGCCAGACAGTGTTTGACTTTCTCCGTGTTAATTCATTTACTCTTCACATCAACTCCATCTATAAGGGGTAAATAAACCTGCCCAAGGTGGCATACCCTGGGAAGTCGCAGTGCCGGGAGTCCAGAGAACACACTCTTAACCACGACACTGCTTCAGAAACTGAGACCCAAGAAAACAGAACGAGTGATGGGATCAAGAGGAGTGAAACTTCAAAGGGGAAATACCTTCAAGTAATTCTCAACCTTTTCGTTTGCAATTCCACTATCTGGCACAATGCTGGATCAGGCAATATAATTTGAGTCAGAATGCTGTCCTTTCTCATATGTAAATATATCACCTGCAGAAAAAACACCTTCTGCTGGGCCGAGTCACTATTTGAAATGGTGACAGAGAGCACTGGGCATTAAGGAAGAATTTTAAGGCAACCTTGAGATTTCCGAGAAGGGTTCTACTCCCAGCCCAGGTGGGGCAGTGAGTACCTACAACTCCTCGCCTGTCTGTCGGAGCCTGCGAGCAGAGGACATGGGCCCCGTGCCCGCCCGTCCTTTGTTGAGAAGAACAGTGGCAGGAAACCGTGCAGCAGCTTTGCCTAAAAGGAAAGCCCGTGGGCTCAGGAGCTTGTGCAGCATAGCGCAGGCAGGCCCTGCAGCAGGTCTTAGTATTTTTAATGCACTTTCTCAAAGTGAGGAGGCAAAACCCATTTGACAGGTGAAAAAGCATCTCTATTGACTTTTTACAAACCTTATGATATTCTAGGTGGATCGACACTTATCATAGCCCTTTAATCTGCCAGCCGGGATAATGTGCGCACGGATAATTTATCCTCAGTGAGATTGAAATGCTCGATTTGGAATAACTCTCCCTACCCAGCAAATTGAGCATTACTTGAGGATTCCAAGGCAGAGAGAAAGCACAATTTAAAAAGCTTTGCAGCGTTCCTTTGTAATTAGTTGCAGCTTGCCTTGAATATTAATTTCCCCTTCGTCCCTTTCAAGTGGCTTAGAGACTGTGTCTAGAACCACAGAGATGCACCTCAGCCCTGCCACAGCGAGCGGCACAGTCTCCACCACCCCTATTAAGGGGTCCGCAGAACCCACCCTCTGCTCCTCAGCACGGTGCGCGGCTTATCAGAGCAAACAGTTTAATATTTATGCTAAGAGGATTGTCAAAAGCAGCTTCTGTTGCTTTAATTCTTGTTTTAAATAAATAATGAGAACATTTAAACACATTACTCTTCTTGGGGCCCCGAGGTCAGCTAATCTTATTATTTATGAAGTGATGTGCTACATAATAGTACTTAGCGCATGTTAACAGACGCTATTATCAGGGCCTGATGCGGAGAGCCCAAGATATATTGGAATGTTATGTGTAATGTACGGCGGATGGAGTGCAGAGGATGCCGGTATAGCAATTAACCACACGCGAAAATAGGTGTAAAGTTGAAGTATGTTTTCCCGTGGGGATTCCTGCACCATTAATAATTCCCCAGAGAAGAGGGACGCCTCCTCTCCCATCAGGCTTGGAAATGGGGCCGGGATGTTCCATCCTTTGATCTCTCCTTGGTCATTCCTTCGGACCAGAAGACAAAGAGCTGGTCCGACCACTTTTTAATTGATTTAGAGAAAGATGGAGAGGGGGTGGGGGAGGAGGCGGCACCTGAGCGCCTCTTCCAAGTGGACTCGGGGCATTTGTGTCCGCCCCCACTTCCACTGCCCGTGCTCCAGAAGCTTCGAGCAATTACTCACTCCTGGTTACAATTTGTTTCCTTCTCTCCCATCTTCCTTTCTCAGGTAAACAAAGCTAAAGCCACTGAGCTCTCCCAGACCCCTTTTTAGATAAGCCGGCCTCTCTGAGAGGTAGATGCCAGCCAAGGTGTGATGATGTTGCCCTAGTTTTTTTCCTGTGAGGCTATAATTTAGCTGCATATGATAATTAATTTCTCCACTATCGATGAATAATCCATTTAATAAAAGCGGTGATTTAAGTTTTTCCTTAGGGACTAACTCTTGCTAGCCTCTTAATTTAATTTTGTGGGAGTTTTCCCCACCTCTTCATCAGTGGAAATGATTATTAACCTCTATTTGCATATATCCTTATAAATCGGTCTCTCCTTGGAGTGCCTTTTTCTGAGCACAGCAAGCTGGGACACTTGTAAATCTCCAGGATCTCCAAAGTCAATCCTGGTCTGTAATATTGTTTAATCTATTCTTGGATGTTTTAATGCAGTAAATTCAATTTAATCTTTCCCAGTAATCTAGTAATACATCGAAATCCCGCAAACATTCAAATCTGATAATGGCTTAATCACACACTTTAAATAACAGTTGAGATAATGAAAAAATAATTCACCATTTTAAAGGCAGAGTAACTGAATTTCCCCCAGTGATTGGCTTCTACAAAGCCACTCGAGATAATAACAGATCTGGGAATTGAGAAAAAAAAAGAGAAAGAAACCCCAACACCATAAGGAATGATTCCTCCTTTCTAGAACCACCTGCTTTCTGCCCTGCAAGGCCCGTTCCCATCACCATGACCTTCAGCACCGAGGACGGTTTTGAAGCACCCCCGTGTTGCGCCGGGTTTCCCGGGGGGTGTGGGTCTCCCAGATGTTTCCTCCCATGAGTTAACTGCCCATTCTTCCTCTTCCAGGTGCCAGTGTCGAATTGCCCGAACTTTGCCCGTAGATCAGAAGCCGGAGTGTCGGCCGTACTGGGAGAAGGATGATCCTTCCATGCCGCTGCCGTTCGACCTCACAGACATCGTTTCGGAACTCAGAAGTCAGCTTCTGGAAGCAAAACCGTAGGAGGAGCACAGGCCTGAGGTGGAGGAGAAGAATCTGCCATCGTGGGCTCCTCCAGCCTCGTCCTGGGCTTGGGCAGGTGTGGACGTCTCCTGGGTCTCAGATGGCAGCCCCTGGGTCCCAGTTGTAAACAGCTAGGGAAGGGAGCCCAGGAGCTTTTAAATGTCTAAAAATGACACAGTGTTATAATCTGATTTGGTATAAGACAAGAATTCACCCAAAGAGAAACCTTCCCCACTTAGATTTTTTTTTTTTTAATGTGAGCCAGTCAGCCACCAAGGGCCAAGGAAGGTGACAGAGATGAGCCCAGCATGTGACAAAACGTAACCTACTTTGCTGTTTTCCCAGCCTTTTTGGAGACTCTAGAGTGGGCCCAGTCATCTGAGGAGACACAGGCCTTAGAGACATCTGTCCCGGTTCCTCACCGTGCTCCCCAGAGGTGTGCTGTGCAGCGGTAGCCACTAGCTAGCTACTCAAATTTAAATTCTATTTTAATTTTAATTAAAAATTCAGTTCCTCAGTTGTCTTAGCCATGTTTCAAGTGCTTAACAGACACACATGGCTAGTGACGACCGTATTGGACAGCAAGACCTACAACATCTTCATGATTATAGAAAGTCCTATTGGACAAGGCTTCTATAAAGAGTCTGAAATCAGGAATTCTTTTTTCTAATTCTCTCTTTTTTGATTTTTTCTTTAATTCCCACAGCCTTGACTTGAAACCCATCTTTTCCAATTTTCTACACCTTCTATCCCCACAGGAAGGAGAGATGAAAAGAGAAATGACTTATGGGAGAGCAGCCCTGTCCCTTCACTGAGATAACCCTAAGTGAAAGCCCAGTGCCGAGTCCCAGGCACTGTACACGGGAGTCCGGTGGCAACAGTTCAAATAAGTTGCTATCCTGTCTTTAGGAGGTTTCCCTGGTCTAATGAAAAAGGTACAGCCCCATTTACGTTGCTCCATGGATTCAACCGGCCTAGTAGAGTTTTTTTCTATAAGTGCCCGCTTCACATGTAATGACAGGTTGAATGGAGGCTTAGAGAATCCCAGTGCCCATCCTGTGGCCTTGGGGTGTCAGAGAGACAAGGTAGATTAGAGATTAAAACCTGGGCCCTGGTTTGAGAGCACCTGAGTGAAGACTCCCACTAGCTTTTGTGACCTTTGGCACATTATTTTTCCTCAGTTTCCTCATCTGTGTAATGGGGATATACTAAAGGAACCCATGCCCAGGGTGAGGTGTAAGTGAGGTGATCAAGGGCAGACTTAGGGCACTCTCTGGCAGGTGAATATTAGTAGTGTTGTGTGTCAGTACGCCGACCTGATGCCAGTGTTCCTCCTTCTTCTCTCCGTCCATGTGCCAGTTTTGTCCCCTGATGCCGTTAACACCCTCTTTCTAGCCTGGTGCAAGCTCCTTGGTGTCCCCAGAAATCGCGAGGACAGTTGGCCCCTCTCCCCAGCCTGTTGCCGTCTCCTATAGTTGTTCACAGTCGTCTAGAAGCTGAAGAACTTTTTCCCACTGAGGGGTGTGCCGAGAACAAACTCGTTCCTGCCACCCAGTCTCAGAGGGTCAAGGCATGTGCCGCCACCACGGACTTAACAGCCACAGAAAAGTCACATTCAGCAAAGCAGCCAGGGTCCCAGCATGTTGAGACGCAAGTTCCCTCAGACCACAGGTTGTTTCAGGGATTAAATGAGATACTACAGGTGAGGAGGGCGTGGCAGGCAGAGAGCGCAGATCGGGCACCTTCAGGACACCCAGCCCAGTGTGGTATTTTGTTCTTTGTTGTATTTCATTATGTGCCGTTATTTAAAAACTGGGAGCTTTCACATAAAATAAAAATGTCTGCTTTCTCTTTAGAATCCAGAACACCCAGTGGTCCTAGGCTTGCGTCCTAGCATGGCACAGCTGAGCAGTGCCTCCCTGCTCTGGGCAGGTGCCAGCCCTCCCGGGCTTTGCCGTGGGCCCTGCCCAGGCTCACTCGCTGTAGACCCACCTGCTCCACAGATCTCCAGGCTGCTTGCTTGCACCCTTGTAGTAGAAATAAATAATGTTAGTGCATACCTCAATCTTCGTGTGTTACTATTGAACTGCATTCATGAGTTGCTTGTCCTAACGTCCTGTGCATCATGGTATTCATATACAATAAAAATATTAAAAAGATGAGCTAATAAACCAGGACAGGCTATGCTGTTTTCTTCTGCACACACCAGTGGATGGCCAGTATCGTCACCGGCCTACGTGGGGCCTCGGTGGAGCCGGGTCAGGTGCAGCAGGGTTGGGAAAAACACAGCCTTAAGTGGATCCAGAAGGCAGGATCACATTTCTTTCTGAAGAAGACTCAGTGGCTCTCTGTGAGCACAAATGGGGTGTGTTTGAGGATTGCATGTGCTCTCTGGGGCAGTTTCTGGAGGGTAGAAGGAAGGGGACAAGAGACAATATAAAGGTGGCTGGTGGTGGCAGTGACAATTCACTCCTGTCCTGCAAGGTCAAGGGAAGGCTGGCTTCTCCCCTGTGAACTGGAGAAGGACTGTCCTGGGAACACTGGTCCAGAGTCCACCCCTCCACTACGTGTGTGCACGAGGGAACCAGGGCAGCCTTGATCCTGGGACTGGCTCAAGTCGGCAGCAGCCCCCACTGCCTTCCTGCTGGCCTTCTCCACAGTGTCCTCAGGTCCCGGCTACCTTGAAGAAAGTGCCCTGAGAGATCCCTCTGCACCGGGCACTACTGACTTCCCTCTCTCCTCCCGCCCACAAACCTTTCTTGGCACCTGCCACAGCTCCACAGTGTGGCCAGCACTGGGGACCACGGACAGATCCCTGCCCTCCAGGGGTTCACAGGCGAGTGAATATAGTGACCCTAACAAGGCCTTAACCTGTAAAGGGGGAAAGTCACCCAGCCAATAAGTAGTGAGGTCTTTCCAGATGGCTGTAAGAGCCAGGAAGGGAGCAACTGGGTAAAGGACCAACTGTACCTGGATCAGGGAAGAATTTTCTGGGCCATAGGGCAGTAGGCTGAGCACTTGGTAGGGGCCAAGGAAGAGGAAGGACCCTGTAGCCGGAGCGGAGAAGGCAGGAGGAAGGACCGAGGATGTAGCTATAGGGCAGGTGGGAGCCACGTCAGGCCTTAGTGTACACACCCAAGAAGCACGGCCCGGTTTTATGCAGGAAGGATGTGGAGGTAACTTGATATTTTTATGTTTGCAACAATCACTCTGGCTACTATCTGGATTCCAAAAGGTCTCAGAGAGCAGATGGCTCAAGCGAAAGGAGCCGCTTTCCAGTTGGGAATGTCCCGCTTGTGGGGAAGAGGGGCACAGTAGTCCGAGAGCCCCCCCAGCTCCCTCCTGTTTACAGTGCGCACTAAAGCACCCTGCCCTGTGCATCCCTCCTGCTCTCACAGGCAGCCTGCAGCCCTGGAGAACTTCTAGACATAAAAGAGCAGGGTCATGGCCTCACTGGTAACACAACTATAGTAATAAGCTTCTAGATCCATCATGAACTGAATCAAGGGATGCTTCAAATAAGATTCCATAGGCCCTATTTAACGGACCCCACGTTCAGTAGGGGTTTTTTGTATGTTTCCAGGGAAGGAAGTTATTTTCGAATGCAACTTTTTTTCCCCCTGCTCTAGTTAAGGCTGATTTTACCACTGGGCAAATTGCATACATTTGGATCCATGCCACGCTAAATACCGTTTATTTTGGAGATCTGTCAGAGGCAAGCGCTTGGAAGACAAGGGGATTCTGATTTGAAAGGGCGATTCTCATCCAGACAGATTCAGACGGAGAGAGGCAGCCGGGATTAAAATGCGCTGAAGCGGTGATGCCGTTTATCCAGTTTGCCTTTGTTACTTTGTGATTAAATGGTATTTTTAATTAAGTTTCATTGGGAGCCATAGGTATCGCTGTGGTGAAATCAATTTGACAACCATAAAGGGGGGAAGGCACGGGCGTGTTGTGATGATTGCGGCTGTAGGGAAAGCCAGGAAGGGGGGAGCTGGCCAATGACGACTTCTGTAAGACCGCAAGGGCACCCGGGTGCTGTGAGTTAGGGGGGCAGGTTTCAGCAGTGGTCGGGGGAGGAGGACACCGCTCCTGAGACACCTCGGGGCCCACTGGGAACTCCAGGAAAGTGTGTGCAGGGTGTGTTTCTCATTAAGAACACATGAGTGTCCCCCGAACCCCATCTGGGATGTCCAGATTACTCTTCAGCCTGGCTCCCAAGCAGCATCTTCCTGTAATCCTTCCTCCCACCGGCCCTTGTTCTTCCAAGATAGTTCTAACTCCCCCTCTCGCAGAACTTTCCAGGGACAAGTTCTTCCTGGTGCCTGACCCAGACCCTCCTCCTCCAATTGGACACTAGTCTCCTCTGCACCCTGTGTGCCATCCATTCTGCCGTCCTTGATCAGATTTTCCAAATCTTCTGATTCCCGAGAGGGCAGCAGACACTTCGGGCCACAGGCTCCCTGGATTTGAGTCCTGGGCGTGTGAGTAACCCCAGGGCTTCCCACTCCTTCAAACCTTTGTTCTCTTGTCTACAAAGTGAGAATAAGAGTAATCCATGACCTGAGGTTGCTGTGAGGAAGCGGTGAGTGAATGTGCATATATGATAAAATGCTTCCCACAGTACCAGGTGTCCTGGTGTCCAGTACGGTGCTAGCCTGGTATCAGCCCAGTTTCCTGTGATAACAGTTGTAGCTTTATTGACTGGGGCAAATCCTCTCACCTCTCTGTGCTCCAGTCTTGGTTTCTATAATAGGGGTTGATGATAATGTCTAGCTCATTAGATTACTCTGTCCCCTGCGATCGTGCATGTTAAGTGATTCACATCATGTCTGGCACTTAATAATCACTCCGTGCGTGTAAATTATTATGATGGGAAATACATTGACCAAATAATCAGAGAGACGAAAGATGGCTGTGGTTTGTTTAAGAAGAATGTTATGTTCCCATCCCGTAGTAACCCAAAGGTACTATGGGAAATCATTCTTTAGGACTCCCGTTACTACCACAGGAGGAGGTCACCCGTGGCAATTTTAGATTTGCTTAAAAAAAATTCTTACCATCACCTTCTAATGGATGATCTGTGTACAGCAATTGTGCATCGGCTCCGAACGTCTGAGGACCAGGGTCGGTGTATTTCCAGGGGGCAGGGGAGCATTAATTAACCTCCCGCGTTAGATTCAGTGATTCTTTCCAAATGATGCGGCTCATGAGTTTGCTTGCATTTACTTTTCATCAATCCTGGAAGAATCGAGGTAAAATAGTTCCTCTGCACGTGTGTGTCAAGCTAAATGGATAACAGCAGATACAGATCTGTTTGCCTGTCTGCACTTGCCGTTAGACAAAATTCATCAATTTTACAAAAGCCACTGACTAAACATGGCACCAATACAAATGAAGTGCCCGAGCTTCCAGGCTTTTCCCTTTGTTTCTCCTCTGGTGAATGCACTGGCTCCCTGCTGAGAGATGAGGAGAGCTGGCCTGGGACAGCAAGGTGCCTGCCCTCCAGGTGGGGACACAGGGTCAGGGCCATTCTGCAGGAAGTTCAGGGAAATTCTGACCCTCTTGGGGCACGAAGCTCCTCCGGGCAGACTTGCTTGGTGTTAAAGATTAAAGACCACAGGTGATCAGGTTCGCCTGTCTTAGTGGTGCCAGGTTCAAGGACACCCTGCCTACCCTTCCCAGCCTCCAAAGAAGGGGAGAGGATCTACAAGCCAGATCAGTCCCCCCAAGTAAGACTTACCGCACAGCCAGCCAAAAGATGACATTCGCAAGAGCTTTGTCAGCGTTAAAGTCCTACCCGAGTCCAGTGGAGGGGATTCTTATTATTTATTTGTGAAACCCACCTAAAACTTTGGTGCCTAATGGAAGAATTCCCATATCCATTTTTCACCCCTGATCAGGCAGGGGCCAGTCTGACGCAGGAGTGGCATATGGCTCACGCTTGAGGCCACCACAGGTAGAGCACGGAGAAATACAAGCATCTCTGCATAAGAACAGCCTCAGTGAGAAATGTGAAGGCCTCATCTTTAATTTTTTGGTCTCACACCCTGTTAAAAACTCCATAAGTGAGTATGTTCAGTACTTTTGTAAAATAACCTCGGAGCTTCACCAAACACGGATGGAGGGGATTTATTTCTTTGCCAAATTGCTGCCCCCAACTGAAAAACCTGGTTATCTTTTCGAATAGGGGATTCAACATTCTGCTGTGGAGCAAACACAGTTAACCTACAAACCCCCAAGCCCCACAAGGGATGAATCAATTTCTCAGAGCGGCTAAAGCTATTGCTCGTAACTCACCCAACACAGAAAACTAGACCTCTGGTCATCCTCCTTCTCCCCCCCACCCCCCCCACCCCCGCCAACTCTGCAGACAGAGCTTTCCAGTTGATTATGCCTTGATTAGAGTTGGGAAAGACACAGGCCAGGTATATAGGATTCCCCTGTGCTCCCTCCTCTGCGCCCAAACAGGGTCAGGCTGAGGGAGATCTTGGCGAACGCAAACAATCAAGCCGTGTTTACCATGGACGTTTGGTTTTCTTTTCCCCAAATCAAAACAGAGTTTAGTAGGCAGCGGATTTCATACATGACCCTTGATCAATGGAATGATCTGTCAGAAGCCATTAAAGCCCCCATTAGCTTGAATGCATTCAAAGCTAAACTATTGGATCATTTAAGGGCCGCAGTGATTGTTTTTAATATATTATACATTGATTTCTCCCTGCGAGCGGCAACATAAGTTTGAAACTAACTGTGTATGACTAAGGCTCTATTTGCTGTCTCCATCCTCTCTGAAAAGCATGGTTTCACTTCGACCAGAAATGTCTGTGTTATAGTTTTCAAAGGGACGCAGAGCCAGTTAGGTTTCCCAAGGTTTAGACTGGGTCAGGTTGTTTTTGGTTTTTTCCTTCCTGAGCTTTCTCCTATTTCTTTGTGCCCGTGAAGTGAGCTGTGCGTGCAGAATGGGAGAGGCATCCCTGCCAGGGACCTCAAGTGAAAGCCAGTAGGGGAAATTTTTCTGAAAGCATGAAGCCAGCAGAGGCCAAAATCAAAGTGAATTTGACAGCCTTGGGCCAGCAAAACTCTGTGCCCAGCAGAAAGCAGCAAAGAAATGTGGCTGTGTTGGGGGCGTCCTCGCTGGGACGCAGCTGGGTGAGC